AGGGGGAAAGCATTCTAGTCTGGGCTATTTTTCCATAAGCATAGAGCTTAAGTTGACAACCATAAAGTGACCCTGAGATATAAAACTTACAAAGGAATTCAAAGGTTCACAAAAAGGAAGAAGAGAAGGAGGAGAAAGAGGAGGAACAAGAGGAAGAAGGGAAGGAACAAAAGAGAAGGAAAAGGAACAAAGGAGAGATTGCAAAGAGGAAGAGGAAGATTACGTCAGAAAGGTAAAGCCAGCTTGGCTGGTGTCCAACTTGAAAATTAAGTATAAATCCATAAAATCTTTCTAAAAAAATCTTATATGTAACAATAGATCTAAGCAGTAGTATCTTTGGTGCATATATTCCACTTCCTTACAAATCAATGCAAGTTTTTAATACATGGCAGACAGTAACACTGCTCCAGTTCCAATCCAGGGTCCAGAGCTCTGCCAAAAATAATCACTTTCAGAGTTCATCCTTCAATGATAAGCTCATAATTCATTATTCCTCATATCAAAATGAGGTATAGCCTCCCTGTGAGGCTAGAACACAATAACTGAAAGTGAGAATTTAAAAAAGTTTCTTAAGAATATTTTCTTATCCAAGTAAAACAGTATGAAGCCCTATGTTTAAAGAGAAAGCCCCATTTCAGAGAGAGATGGGGGAATAAAGAAGATGGAAACAACATACTTTAAAATCCTGAGTCACAACTATTGTTGCTGGAGAAGAGAAGGAGAATAAGGCGCACAGTAGGGAGCTGTCCATGAAAGATGACTGGAAAATACTGCTGGAAAGATGTTTTCATCAATAAACACGAAAGCTCAAAGAACATGAAATCTTGATGCAGCAAGTGGCACAAATATATCCTCTAAGACACTGCTCCACTTTTATTGTCTCCAAAAACCCCTAACTAAATGGAACTTATTTTAAGACCCTAACCACAATCTTGTATTTGGAAGAAACCTAAGAAATAATGCAATCCAATATGTCTCTTTTAAAGATAAACTGAAGTCCCTAAGGCTTTAGGCACTTCTTCCCAATCATTTACCAGAGCGACTTTAGTCCCCATCTCCAAGATGCAGGCCAAACCCTTTTTGTGATATTATACAACTCTGAAGTTAGGAAAACTGGGGTAAGAATTGCACTCTTGCTTAAGCAGCACAAAGAGAGGGAAACTGCCCTATAGGAAATCCATAACAAGTTCAACAGCTGTTCGTCATTATTAATGCATGGTGACAGACTCAACTAATCAAGCCCTGTCTTCCTTCCACAGCCTATGTGGAAGTTAACAAATTGTGTGTACTCAATACATGTTAAGTCTTTAACCACTTCAAAGTATAGCCAGACCTTAAACATGTTTCCTAAGTCACTAGCACCAGTGAATTTGTAGTTTTATAAATATCATGGTGAAGAAGAAATGCTGTCTTGTCACATTCAAGCCAAATAACAGCTGGACTTTAAAAATAAAATTTTGAAGGCACTTGCCTTTTATATTTTTAATTTCTGTTTTCCTTGCTTATGGTTTTGTCATTTGATTTTGATGAGTGGTTAATACACATGCACAGCTGCCTCTTTTGGTGACCTTTTCTTTGCTGCCTGCCTCCCTGCCTGGCTGTGAGACAGGTCTGCAAGTTGCTTAGTAAGTCGTCCTGTCGTTTGTGCACTCGCAGACATGTTGCTGGGAAGCTGGCAGGCGCAAAGACTCCTCTCCCAGGCTGACTTGCTTTATTCCTTTCTGAAGCCCTACAGGAGGGTGGGGCACAAGTGGTGGATGGCACAGTCACTACGAATCACAGGGACCTTGGAGATGGCCACACTGGGCAGAGAGAGGGCACCTCCTGCATTAGAAACACAGAAGCCACCTGTCAACTCAGCTCCCTTCAAGAGTGCTCGCTCTAAATTCTCCATAGATTACAATAAAGCACTGTTCTGCTCTGTACTTTTCAGTGACAGTCATGTACGCACAGATTTCCCTTTTGATCTTCCAGCTTCCCTCACTAGACCATAAGCTCAAAGAGGCCACGGCCATCTCTGCTTTGTTTCCCATGATTCACTTCAGGTCTGGTTCAGGGGCTGACTCAGGCCTGTCATGCAGGAAATGGTGACTGTTTTGTTGGACCACAGACTTAGTGAAGGAGTAAATGCATTTTTTGTTTGTTTCTTTGTTTTTGTGACTCTTTGGTCCCTTGTTAGTTTTCCTGCTAAGGGAAATATGAAAGAATAAAGTAGTGAAAGTATACATACTTGTTATCTACCCTGTTTTTAGTCTGAACGGTCACCTCAGCAGGCTTCACAATCAGCTCATACTTGAACAAATGCCAGGAAACAGCCTGAAGTCGGCAGAGGGCTAATCCCCATCTCACCGGTCCTTGCAGAGGCAGAGTGATGCCTTGGGTATGAGACCGGGTAACCTGACTCCATTCATGCACTCAGTCCCCCAAAAGCACATGAGGTCTCAATGGCCACTCTGGGCAAGCTTCTGAAGGGAGGTTTTCACACGAGCCCTAAGCTCCTCAGTACTACAGCCCTTCTCCTGTTACACTCACCAGGCACTGCTGCTGTGTGTGACTCAGTAACTCGAGAGCTGCAGATGGTGTGACCCGCTATATTTAGGGAGAGGAAATGGGCCACGCTGAGGAAGGTCGCAAGGAGTTTGCTCAGAAATGTAAGTGACGATGCCACGTGTTTATTGGTGTATCTACAATGATGCAAGTTGAAAACTGAGCTGGGTATCAAATCTCAACTCTAGCCTTACTAGCTATGCGACTTTCAGTAAGTTATTTAATTGTTCTGTGCCTCACTTTTCTCAACTATAGAATGGAAAACATAAAATACCTTTTTCAGAAGCTGTCTAGAGATTAAATGAGAAAATATGTGTTCAAAATAACACATTTATGAGAGTTTGATAAGTATTTGCTTAAGACCACAACTATGATTAAGATATTTAAATATAAACAACCTAAGTATTCATAGATTTGAACCTAGACAACTTGGATAATCTGAGTATTGAATGGATTATTCCATACTTTTTTTTTTTTTTTCAGTACCAGGGATTGAACTCAGGACTTGCCAGATAGTGCTTATTCTACTGAGCTATCTCCCTAGCCCACAAAAATATTTCTATAAAATATTTCCCTACAGTAAAATTCTAAACTTTTTCCTTTTAAAATAACAATTCTAAAACTATTAATACATCACATACATGATATTGTCAACTTGATTATCAGCATTACTGAGAGGCAACTGATTTTAACTAATATACAGTTAAGAAACAAAATGAAACAGGGAAAATGACAGTAAGAAAAGTCTGTTAAAGGTAATGTGATAGAGCTCTATAATACCTAGTTTATAGCCAAATATGAGAATGAATACACCACAATGATAAAAAAAATTATTTCATTCTTTTTGGTGAAAGATTTAGTTACTCCAATCTTCCAACAAGATTAAGATGGGCCAGATCTGAAGCACCTCCTTGCCTTCAGGCCTGCTGTCATGTCTGTGCCACAGACAGGTGGCTGGCTGCCCAGGGCCTATCCTTTAAACTTCCTGGGTCCCTGGAAAAAAGGATCCCAACTCTCACCCTTGGAAACCTTGTACTTCGAAGTGCCTATGAAAATGTCAGTACATTCTTGGTGTACATGTATTCTTCAAAGAAGACAGCAAGAACAGTTCTGGTTTTGTATTCTGTATTCCTTCCTTTCTATTTATCTTCTTCCTCCCTCCTCCCTTCCTTCCCTCTCTGTTTCTTTTCACTTACCTCTTTCTATCTCTATCTCTGTGTCTCTGCTGCTAACTGTAACCCCCCCACAACACCCCCCACACACACACACCATACGAATCAGAATTCATTTTAACACCTTGTCCCCAGGACTATCACCAAGTATTGGTTTGTGCTACTTCTATGAGAAACTAGCCTTCTGGAAACTCTCTGAGGTGCTTCCTAATGGCTGATACTACCCATTTCCTAGTGCTCATGCCACAGATTTCTGTAATACCTGGGAATAACCAGTTAAAATACAGCCATGAAATGCTTTTGTGTGTTTTCAAGGGATCAGGGTTCTGGAAGAAATCCTGCTAGTAACAGGGATACTAGTAAGATTCTTCCACTCAACCTAAAAAAGGACTTTAGCAGGGACCCAAGATGGGTAAAGTATCACATTACTTTATAGAGAACAAATTAATCTTCCCTGACTGGTGGGGCAGATTCTGCCAAGAAAGAGCTAACAGGAAAACCAGTCTTTACCCTGTGATGACACAGTAAATAACCAAGCAACATTACTACCGAAGTGCTGACCTAACCCATAAATTGTACACAGCCTCTGGGGAGCAATTTCTGCTGATATGCTGCTTGTGCATCTAAGACAAACAAACAAGAAAGGAAGAGAAGTGGATAGGCTTTGATCGTGGGGTGGGTAAAATTTCTGAAGAATGGCAGCTCCTTCCAGCTAGGCCTTCAGTGAACTTCAATAATAGTGGCCAGGCATAAGCTAGGCCTTTCCCAAGCAACTAGTGAGTTTTTACAAAATCTACTTCCAACCATCAGTTAAACCCCAAAATGGTCACACTGCATTGCACCTAGTAATCACCTGACTTGGAACTTGAAAAAAAAAAAAAAATCCATGTCTGTCTCTCTCTTTCTGCTTGCTTGTCTGTCTGTCTGTCTGTCTGTCTCTCTCTCTCTCTCTCTCTCTCTCTCTCTCTCTCTCTCTCTCTCAAGAATACACTGAGGTAAATGAAACACAGAATTCCATTGCTCATTGGAATGTAAAAGGTCCCTTTATTTTAAAATTTTCAAATGGTACCCTGAAGTATCTGGATGACTGTGTATTTAATAACATGTGATCTAGCTACTTTTCAAAATTCTCAACTATAATAGATACTGAAGATCATTCCCTCAGCTTTGCCTAAAAAATCTGATGGTGACCCCAAGAAAGGGCCCAGCAATCCTACATCTAACTCAGACACACTTTCAAAAGCACACAGAGCAGCAGAAAAGCCATGGAAGTTCACTCACCCTCTGCATCTTCTGGCCGAGTAAGGTCGATGACACCAGGGCCCAGCTTTCCATCTTCACTTGACTTTCCTGATAACTGGGGCACCAAATTCTCGAAGCGTGTTCTTTCCTAGAAGAAGGAATCATCAGAGGCTTATTCTAGCTCCAAGGCAACCACTTTTTCCTAGCAACTTCAATCTTGCATAATGGGCAAAATTTGGATTTATAAACTTTCTTTCTTTTTTTTTTTTTTTGTATTTAGTGCAGGGTCTACAGGGTCTCACTGCACAGACTGGACTTGTAGTGATTCTCCTGTTTTCAGCTTCCCAACTGCTGGGATTACATGCACTACCACGCCCAGTCTCAATTACCATCTCAGCGCGCGGTGGGGGCAGAGCCTGCACCACATGCCGGGGATCAAAGCCCGGCCACTGCACTCTGCCTAAACAGGCACTTTAATCTGCTGAGCTATCTGGCCAGTCCTCTGTAAACATCCTTTTTGACCCACTTGGCCTCTAAAAATCTTTCAGAGAGATTCTGCCAGAGTCTGATTGTGGCACTGAGGGCATTTAGACCACAGAACCTGGAAGGAAAGAAGTGCTTCAGTAGACCTGGCAGGGCAGCTCAGCACTTCGCTCTTTTGAATTGGATCTAGAAATCTAAAAGGAATGTGAAAGGGTTGAGTCAAAAGCACAGAAATGTGAAAAAGCAATTTCTATTAAAATAATACTACTAAACTTAACAGGAGAGAATTGTTCCCAATGCAGAGATCATAGCCTGCATTGGTCTTACTGGAAAAAAAATTAAAATCTTTATGCACCAGGATTGCAAAAACCTTTCAAAGCAAGTAAACTAGATGATGGAATTTTTTTTTAATTTTTCAGAGTCTGATTGTGGTACTGAGGGCACTTAGACCATAGAACCTGGAAGGAAAGGAACCCTTCAGCAGGCCTGGCAGAGCCGCTCCGCACTTTGCTCTTTTGAATTGGATCTAGAAATTCAATTCCTGGAAACTGAAATGGACTTTTACTCCTAGCTAGCTATGGACCAGGAGAGCTCACTACCCCAGCTGGGCAGGAAGGAAACCCCAAAACGTTTTGCTTGTTCATAGCTCTTCTCAGAGCAGGAGTCTGCAGCATCACGGTGACTGGAGCGCTGCTGCTCGCCAGATCACTAGCAGAGGGCTCACTGACCGTCATTAACATGGTGTTCTCGTCTGCAGAGACCCAGCACGTGTCCCCCAGGCCCCCACTCCTTGCTACACTCCAGACTCAAACTTGGCTTTGTGTTATGCTTATGAATGAATGAAACCTTGTTGTTCATTACTATGAAACAATATTAAATGTCATGTCAGCTTGAATTTACAGACATGAAATAGCAGCTTCCAGCTCCGGGAATGGTTTCTGCATGTTATACTTAATGCATTATGCAGCAGTAGAGTGCTGATTGCTGTTCAGTCTATTGTTCAATGACCTAGTTCTGTACTGAGCATGTTCAGCATTAGATGGAAATACTCCGAGTGTTCTCTTCTATAAGATGTTTAGAAACTTGGAAATATTCTTAAAGAGCAAACATACAATTACTTCATAGAGGCTGTGCCTCATTTGTACATTCTCACTACATTTGTGCTTTCTAATATGATTATTTTTGAATATCATTATATTTCTATAATTAATTCCCATCAGTCAAATTGTGCAGGAAGTCTTCCAGTTCCCCTTCATCATGGAATATGTTGAAATCTATGTTGGAAGAAAACACAGCACAAACCTTGCTTTAATCCAGCACCATTTCTATGCAAGATTTGCAGCAAAAATTCTAATCATGAATTTCCCCAACTGGGTTATACTAACTCATTTCAATAATAATATGTAGGGAAACCTCTGAAATACGACACTGATGCAAGACAGGATGAAATGAAAACCAAATCAAGGGAAGTTCTCTAATATCTTCTTATGTAAAAACTGCTGCCCAAGAACAAATTAACCCAGACACAGGACACAACAGAAAGCAACCACAAGCTGTGTGGGCGCTTCACACATAGTCAGAGGAAGGACAGCTGTTTTTAATCAGCCGATTTCTATTTTTGAGTAGCATTCTTGGTTGTCCTGATGGACGGAAAACGAATTAAAGTGAAGATGAGTAGTACCAGGGAAAGCAAAATATTCAACCTTTGTTTTATCATATTGCTTCACATTTCAATTATTTGCATGTGAATGCTTTCCCTATGTTAAATGCAAAAGGAGTTTTGATGTGACACCTGCAATCTTCTTGGAAGAACAACCTTTAACTGTATTTTCACGGGGGGAAAACAACTTTCTCTGACAATCAACAGACCAAGCTACCTATCAATATGCATATTTCAAGTATCTTTCTAGTCATTCATTCTCTTTGATTTTACTGGAAAATATTCTCAGTAAAAAAAAAATAAAGTTCCTGAAAGAATATCAATATTTTGACAAGGAAGGAGAAGAGGGAAAATTACATGCCATGGTTTGTAAAATCCTAAGACAACAAAGCTTACATGATGATAATATCTTTTCTTTTCTAAAAATGAAGTGCACTTGCAATTCAGTAGTATCAGCTTGTTTTTAATCATAACAAAAAACGTTCAGAGCATTCAACAACACATTCACAGTGTCTTTGAAGTCATACATTTTTCTGACTTCATTGAAAAAAAATTCTTCTGCAAAGATACTTTCCCTATAAAATATCAATATTTTGACAGAGTAGAAGAAAAGGAAGACTATCCCATGAAATACTCGTTAAGTAGGCAGAAAATAAATCAGTAATAAAAATTGTTTGGGGCATTGGGTTGCATTTTAAATTTGATGATATTAAGCACTGTGTTTGAGATTAAAGAAGGGCCCTGTAAAGCCATGCCCTTTCATATAAATTTCCACCTAGTCTCCCAGAAGATTTCCTTCTTTTCTTCAAAGAATAGCTCAGAATATTTATTTGCCAGCCACATAATCATAAGATAAGAGGCTCTGATGTGTACAAGTTAGGTCTGGACAGCTGAGCTAAGCAAAGCCAGTGAGATTGAACATGAGCCTAGTAAATACAGGATGTGGACATGGGCACAAAGGAAAATATAAGGATGCTTCACTCCCAAAAAACTTAAACTTCTGGCCATTAAATACCAATAGGTAGGTCCCTATGCACAACAAATATAGGACATAGGTGGCAATATTTTAAGTCCAAATCGTACCCTTCCTACACACACACACACACACACACACACACACACACACACACACATTTGAACTAGCTCTTACAATGCACATAGCTTAAATGGAAGATATTTTGGAAACATAAGTGAAATATCTCAATACTTACTTAATCCCCCACCTGAAAAATTCCCCAGTGGACATGTTGACAGTGAAATGTGTATTTGACAGGAAGTGGTGTGATCAGACACTTTCTTATGCATTGTCAGTCTCAAACATGCAGGCAACATAAAAGTTATTGAAAAAAATTAAAGTCAGCTCTGGCTGTGTTGTAGGACTGTTGGCTCTCTAAGTGCTTTGAAATTATGATGTATGAGGTAGATGTTGCATATTAAATAAAGATATTTAAATGATAAAGCCCCCTTTAGTGAGAGCTGATGAATGTTAAATGTTACAAGCCACAAGATGGTAGCATCCATCATCTTCACATATTATCAGAGTCAATGACGGGGCAGGCTCACTGATGACAGATAGACTGCTGCATTATTATCCCTTATTTCCAGAGTCACTGAACAAACCGTTCAACTCCCAGGCATTATTTTTAACTTTGCATGAAATTAGCAGCTTCCCCCCCATGGCAAGATTGATCAATTATATCTTTGCATCAGTGGAGAGAGAGAATGGGTTTGGGATAACTAAAAGACTAGAGGTTAGTTTTCATCTAGGAAAAAAATCAACTTCTTACTGGCAACAAATATGAAATTGTGATCTGGGGAAAGAACAGCAATGAAACAGTAAGCACACAATAATGGCTTTTCTTTGCACTTAGATAAAAGCTGAATTTTTGATGTGCACAGTATATTTTAATAAAATTTTATATACTATGTTTTACACACTTATTGGCTATTCCATAATAATGTGTGTGCTAACAGTAAAATTGCTCTTAAATTTATGTGTGTTATTTATATGTTCCCACGTAACAATGCTTTTTGTTGTAAAAAATATTCTGTTTATTAATGTAACTTTACAACCACTGCATCCAAGATCCGTGGTAAATTAATGACATTTTTATTATTTTATAGTGTCATTAAATTTTTACTGATCACTCCATCAAACGGAGGCAGTAAAGGCCATAATGTAAACTGGGACACTTAGATCAGGCAGCAGGAAGACATTCCATATAGTCTGAAGAAAACTGCTAGCCATAAATGATATTTATACCATCTTTAAGCATGAGAGAATACTTGGATAAGTTTGGCAAAACTGTTTCAGTAGTAGAGTGGATTGTGTACTTAAATAACAGTTTGCTTGCTAGCGAGACAAGCCTTTTTCAAACCATATGCGAGATGACTGATTACGGCCTTCTCCTAAAAAACGACACATGCAATGTAATGATGAGCTGGGCACCTTCCCTTTGGATTTCCAGATTGGACCAGCCTATATCACACCCAACAAGGATCCCTTTTCTCCAAACTAAAGAGGAAAATGATACATGCTAAGGAAACCCTTTTGTTTGTTGTTTTACAAATATATTTTATTTAAGTGGTCACATCTAGACAAGGTGGTATATTTTATTCCAATGGTCTATGTAAAAGGCATTTTACTAACCTTTACTCAAAAGCTCATTTGTAAAGGATGTCTGAACATCAGGTCGTTACAGCAGCCATGCTGCATACAAGCAGAGTGTTATTACCTATATGGTAGTTAAAAGAGTGTGAAAAATAATTATCCTGTTATTTTCATATGTAAAATATGTTATAATTAGGATGCTCCTTATATTGACTCTCTTAAATAAACTTAAATGTGTGTTATTAACTAATTGCTGAACAATCTATTTATGCATATATAAGATAGTAAATAGAAATTCTATGCTCATGTAATCATGGATTTAGAAGCACCTATCTTCTATATGGAAAATCTGGTATGATTCTTTTCTAAGTAAATACAAATTTTGTTGTTATAT